GCTTTAAAGCTAGAGTAGATTATTATAGCCTCCATATTGTAAAAAAGAAGATTTGTAATACATAATGAATCCGGAGCACCTACATCTATGTTACTGTGGTAAAAAACTCTCAAGAATGTTTACGTTGTCTGGGACTAATGGCCCTTGATTGCTGTGTATACTATAGTCTATATTAAACAGTGCATTTGAGGAGGGGGAACCTAAAATATAATAGGCATTGTGACTACCCAAGTATGTTCAAGTTAGAGTCACGGAAGTCGGTCTTAGCATATCATTGAAGTCCCTTGCTTTTAATCTTTAATTTCTATGGAAGTCGGTTGTAGCATATCATTGAAGTCCCTTGCTTTTAATCTTTAATTTCTATGGTTTTGATATCACTGTTTTGAAGTAACTCTGTTTTCCATAATCAATGCATGCATTAATGTACCTAAATAAAAAGGTAATTTCTTATGCCATTTTCAGGGTAACTATGTACCATCTATAAGGAATATGTCCACTGTGGCTTCTGTAGGCATTCAAAATAAGGAGGGATTGAAGCTTCTTGTAAATGGAGGACCTCATGCTCAGAAAATGGTTGGCATTTGGCTTTTTGGCTCTGCTGCATGGGTTTTTAGTATGGTGATACTTGGTGGTATTACACGACTTACACGATCTGGTCTTTCAATGACTGATTGGAAATTTACTGGGGGTCTCCCACCTCTCTCAGATGAGGATTGGCTGCTTGAGTTTGAGAAGTACAAGCAGTCCCCTGAGTATAAGCGGTTAGTGTAAACTGAAAACAATACTGCACATTAAAAGCCTTCCGGAATTACTGAAGTTGGCGCAGATGCAATCATTTCCTTACTGATGTTAAAACAAAATATATGTAGCTTTTAAGGACTTCTAGCATTTTGTATTTTGTGTTTACCCAGATTTGTAGGATTGACTAATTACATAATTTATGTTGTTTTGAATAGTGGTTGAAGTTCTTATGGACCCTTGTGATGTTACCTGGTTCTTGACTGCAGTGTAAATCGAGGGATGAGTATTGACGATTTCAAATTTATCTATTGGATGGAATATGCACATCGTATGTGGGGAAGGGCACTGGGTATTATGTTTGCCTTGCCATTCTCATATTTTCTTCGTAAGGGGTATATTACCTTACAGCTTGGAGCGAGACTCTCGACTCTTTTTGCCCTTGGTGCTGGGCAGGGTTTAATTGGCTGGTGGATGGTTAAAAGTGGTTTAGAGGTTAGATATATGTTTATTTGTTTATTTGGTTTGGATTGGAATGTAGTTAAAGATGGATCTTCAAATAATTATGTCTCTCACAGGAGCCACCATCTGAGTATGCTCAGCCAAGAGTAAGCCCTTACCGTCTTGCAGCTCATCTTACTTCAGCCTTTGCTATATATTGTGGCCTTTTATGGACTGGTCTTTCTGTTGTCATGCCCGAACCACCTGCTGAATCTCTAGCTTGGGTACGTGGGGCAGCAAAGGTGAAGCGACTTGCTCTCCCTGTAAGCTTACTTGTTGGAGTAACTGCTGTCTCAGGAGCATTTGTTGCCGGGAATGATGCTGTATGTAATTGTTGTTCATCTTCTTGAATTTCGCATGTCAACTAAATAGATGATATGCGTCTTTTCCAAAGTTGGAGATTACATATATATATATATATATATATATTCTTCTATGTACAGGGGCATGCCTATAATACTTTTCCAAAGATGGGGGATACATGGATCCCAGAGGATGTGTTTGAAATGAAGCCACTCATCCGAAACTTCTTCGAGAATACATCTACTGTGCAGGTCTCTTCTATGGCCAAAGAATACAATTTATTTTGGATTTTGCACCTTAATATTTCATTATTTCTTTATGTTAGCTCCTAGGCTGCTTTTATAATGATGAGGAAAATTAAAGCATTACAAAAATATAAAAATCAAATAATTGGAAAGAGGCCTTATTTTGAGTTTTTTTTCCTTCACGAAAAACTAGCCTCTGCTTTTTTTGTGAGCGTATATTGTGTTTTGTTGTAAATTTGTTTCTTTAGGTGACTGTGCTTTGTGAAATTATAGAATTGTTAAATTTTATTTTGTATATCAGTTTCTTGAAGATGAATAGTTATAGCTATCAGCATTTCATTATTGTAGCTCCACATCTATATTTGCAACAATTGTTATGAATAAATTTTTTTTCTTTTCCAATTGTAGCTTGACCATCGCATCCTTGCAACTGCAACTTTGCTCTCAATCGGTGCTTTGTGGTGGTCAACAAGGAAGTTTGACGTCCATCCTGCAGTTCGATCTTTGATTGGAAGTGCTGTTGGCATGGCTGGCCTTCAGGTATAACTGTTAATCCAACTTTCCTTTCATTTTTATTCTCTGTTTAGATCAGAACAAAGTTCTCCTTCGAATGATTTTTTTAGTATGATCATGTTGGTTAACGTTGCCTTATACAATTACGCTTGTGTTGGAGTAGGTCACTCTGGGGATATCTACACTGCTGTCCTATGTCCCTGTGGAGCTTGGCACAGCGCATCAGGCCGGGGCTTTGACTCTCTTGACACTAATGATCCTTCTCAATCACACCTTGCGTAGGCCATCAGCGTCCCTTCTCAAATCACTACCTCAAGTTGCAAAGACAATCTAGATGACTTTGCAGTTCAATTTTGTAACGATTGGACGTTTTAATTGGGTCAAACAATATTTCTTCGGTTCTGGTGTTATACGTATATCACCCTCTTTCAAGCTGGGGATTGTTTTGCAAATGTGCAGAAATGTTCTGTTGTGGTTGGAAATAAAATTCAGATTGCAATAGTGATTCCTCGGCGTTTTCTAGTACTATAGACGGCTTTGGGCTACCCAGTGGGTATCACCACCACAGGAACGGTAAGCTTTTCTTCTTTTAGGTTTAACCAAACTAGAAAATTCTTAAATTCTAAAAAATCAAATTCTGTCATTTGGAATTCCTTAGTAGCTTAAATTTCTTCATTCATACAGTGGTAGTATTAAACGACAAGTTCATGAGAACAATTTACATGGCAAGATTACAGTTAGGGGTGAGTTCGGTTTCATTCAGTTCAGTTTTTTTGCCAAAATCGAAATCAACCAAAACTTCAGTTCGGTTCGGTTTGATTTTCTTTCGGTTTTTTTCAATTTGATTTTGTTCGGTTCGGTTTCGGTTTTTATTTTATTTTATAAAACTTTTGATTTTTTTTTATTATGGAATTTAGAAAAGAGGCTTTGTATTGGTAGACTAATAAAAAGAAAATAGGGAAAGTGGGAAGGTAGTTGTATTGTATAAATATATCATATTCTATCAACCTCAATTGCAAAGAAAAATGATCACTGCATCCATTCAAAAAGCAAACAAATGAGAAGCTTTTTTAAGTTCCAAAGCCTTTCAAAACTTTTCTCTATAGCCAATGGAATATCCTTTCTAGCGAACCAAGTATGCTCCTTGAAAAAGTGTTAGGCTTAGTTACAAACTTGGTAACAAAGTTTCACAAAAGAAACATTATGGGCATACATCCATAAAGTGCAAAGGGATTCGATTTGGTTTGGTTTGGTTCGGTTTTTGAACCTCTAAAATTGAAACTGAACCAAAAAGTTCGGTTCGGTTGGGTTTTTTAATTTTTTTGTTCGTTTTTTTTTCGATTTTTAGTTTTTCAGTTTTGGTTCGGTGTTCGGTTCGAATTTTTACAGTTTCGATTTTTTGAATCCACCCCTAGATTACGGTATCATCATAGCATTATGTGCAAACAAAAAAGATTAATACTCATAAATTTTTAGTTCAATGATTAAAACTCTAATTGAATCAAATCGAAAGATGAATAAGTCAATTTTCTGCATTATTTACTGGTTCCACAAATTTGGCCTGTTTCCTTCTTCCGGTTCGCACCTATAACTATAAAACATTAGGAATATGGTCGTTTAGCAATCCATCACTTCCACCCTTTGTTTTTAGACATGGCAAGGTGCCAATACACCCTTCACCCATTATTATGAGTCTTGGCAATTGGCAATCATGGTTGAGGCAATAACATTTCTAGACTCAAGTCCGGCCATGGCAGTATGACGTCATTCATGTGAACATGCCACGTGGGATTTGGTCAAAAGCTGGAATAAAACGGTATTTCTCACGTGACACTTTTCTGACCTTTCGATTTGAACAATAACTTTAGTCTAACAATCTATGTTTTTTGATAAATGAAAACTAACAAATAATCGTTATAAGTACAAAAAAATTTCAAATAAATCCACCAAAATTAAAAAAAAAAAATTTAATAAAAAGATTCCCATCACGGAAAATAAAATGTGGACACGTAGCGCAACTATAGGCTATAACAACCTATTCTAAATTAATCTTATCCATTGAATAATTATTAAATAATTGATTATACATAAAAATAATCATTATGAATAGTAACTGCCACGTCTAAAACTATTCAGAATGGGTAAAGAGTTAATTAATCTTTAGAGTTAAATAATCTTTGTTAAGGCAGTTCATTATTCATGTGAATAGTAACTCTCTCAACTCTTTAGCCATTCAAAATAGGTGGAAATGTTCTTAATCAATCTACAAGTCCCAAATTTCTTGTATTAAGTTGAATATTAAAATGTTAGGCAGTAAGTTGGTAAATTTTTCAATGCTACGTAAAATTGAATATACGTAAATTTTTCAATGTTAGGCAGTAAGTTGTTAAACCATTATTAGATTTTTTTTGGGTTTTTTAACAATTATTAGATTTTTTTTCTGCAAAAAAAAAAAATCTAATAGTTGTTAAAACCGAATGTAACTGTGAAAACACTCATATCATTCAAGCCAAACTCATATAAGCTTTTCTCTTCTTGATTGTGGACCAAAAACATGACATTACTTACGCATCACATAATTTATAAATATAATTTAAAAAAAAATTGTTATTAACATTCTAAATATCTTATTCTACGTCCCTTGTAAAAGAATTTTCCTTTTTAATTATAAAAAATTTAAATTGTAAAATAAAAATTTTAAAATGGGAATAACAGTTTATCTCATCAGTAGTATCTCGACAGTGCAGTGCTTCGGCCGCTCCACGGATCCAGGCGCCGCCTTTCCAGCCTCCTCTTGTATCCTCTGCTCTCTAACTGTAAGTCCTCCGCCGCCGCCTTCTCCTCCTCCTCCTGCTGCTTCAAATTTCAACACTCCACCGAACCTCTGACCTCACCACCTCCTAGCTCCTACTTCTCTTCTTTTCGCCATCTAATTTCACTTTTGTTTTCTGAATTCGAATTTGGGGATTTAGGAGTTAGGGATTCAGTTAATTTGCTGAATTATTCGATTAAGTGATTCAATTATTGTTATTTGTGTGCTGTGGCTTTGTGAATTATCAAGGGGACCTTTTGTTTTCAGTTGATCCTTGTATGATTTTATTTTGAATGGACATGGTGGTGTTGTACTTGATAATGTAGATGAAGGTGTTGTTTTAATTATAGAATGGGTCGGAAAGTTGGTACCGTATACATAAATCCAAAAAAATTTGGAACTTTTCACAAACCTTGCATGAAGGAAATGATAGCATTTCTCAACTGCCTGGCTGCTAACCAGCTCTGTGATGATAAGTGTGTCAGCAGAAGGAACTTTTGGGTACTTGTATGGAGGCTCAGGTAGATTTTCCGTTGTTCTCCTTTCGATTATGCATCTTAATTTTGTTTTCGGATTTCGCATCTGTTTTTTTTTTTTTTTCATTACTTGAAGTCTATCCTCATGCGCCCTACTCTTTCGCTACAGAGCAACAAAAACAGAAAGTCAATGGGAAGCATCAATTACCACTTGCAGAGGCTGAGCAGGGGAAGGAAGTAGTTTGGTTTTGTAGGGAACGTCGTTTAAATTGATATATGATTATTTGTAGTCATTAGTGACAGAGGCTTCGCATGGAGATTGTTTATATTGTGACAACCGAGAACGTTCACGGGATAATTTCCCTGTTTGAGATTCAATAGGTATGGGAAGTTCTGGACATTATTTTGAACATTTCTGTTGCAGCTTAGTTTGATATAAGGAAACTTTTCATTAATTTGTAAACCCAAGTCTTTGCCTTGGTAGAACAAAGGCTTAATTTATCTTTATTTTTCAGTAAATGCTCCTACCTACAGCTGAATTGGCTCAACATCCATGAGTGTGTCTGGAATACAGAACGTTGTGATTTGTGCTAGTTGTAATATTTTATTAATATATATAAATGAGATGATTGAATGACTCTGGATTCGAACGAGTTTTGTGAGTGAATTTATTTTATATGAGCAAAAGATTTATAAAATATTTTACAACTGAGATCGATTCACCTTTTATTCGTATATGTCACTTATACGAGCTTCATAGATGAACGGATTATCCGGCTTTTGCTTTGCTTGGTAAACCATTTTCATCGGTGTAAATGGCGATTTTGTAGGTCGACAAGTGTTGATAGGTAGGAGGTGTCTTTAGTAGTGGTGTTGGAGAATTAAGCGCTTAGTGATTAGATTAACCATGTATCTTATTGTCTTATTTTGTGAATAGTTCCATTTTGGGAGCCTATCGGCGTTGTGCCTCTAGATGAGGTTTTGAACATAGTTTGCAAACTCTTTTGCGTTGCATGTAAGTGGAAGAGACCCCACCACTATGTTTATTTGTACAAGTTGTTCAATACGTACTAATGTGACATTTTTAATATGCTCAATTTCATATATACTTCGTAATCAGGACATGATAGTCTTAAACACCCTTCTTTCGTCCTTATTCTAAATTCTATTTAATTCAATTTAACGTTGATGCTAGCATAAGATTCTCATTTTGAGAAACACAATTAATCGCTAAAATCTTAATCATGGTTAAAACTTAAAACAGTGAAATATCCCGAGTTCCCGTAAAAAGTGCCGCAGCCGGTAGTTTTCAAATCCAAAAAGAAAGTATGACATAAAAAAAAGACTCATAAGAGTCCAAATTTCTAATTTCTCGCATCAGCAGTGTCAGCAGTGCTTCAGCCCCTCCACGGATCCATGCGCCGCGTTTCCACCCTCCTCTCCTCTGCTGTACTCTCTAACTGGTAACTCCTTCTCCGCCTCCTCCTCTTCTTCTTACGGTTGTTCAAATTTAAATGCGCCACCGTAGCTCCGATCTCTCAACCTCCTAGGACCTTACTTCTCTTCTTCTTGCCATTTAGTTTCAGTTTTATCGTCTGAATTTGGATTTGGGGATTTCGGAATTAGGGATTTTAATCTGCTAAATTGTTCTAATTAACGGATTCAATTGTTGTCTTAATTGTGAATTATCAAGTGGGGACCTTTTGTTTTCAATTGATCTTTGTATGATTTTTATTTTGAATGTACATTGTGTTGTTGGACTTGATAATGTAGTTGAAGATTTAGAAATACATAGGAGAGTTTGTACATCTGGGTTGGGGTCCTGTGAAATGCTTGAAAAATGTTGGATCTTCTCGAATTTTGCGTTTCAGTTGACCTGGTTTCATTTTAGTTCAATCATAGAATGTTCGTTCTTTTTAGTGGCCAACGGGTTTGATCACCCCTACAAAATGTAGATCCAAATGAGAGAACAAAAGAACCCGGAAGTAAGTTCTTTGGATTTTCAATTTAGAGACTTTTAGGAAGTTTCAGACCAAACTGGGATTTTGCTTCAACTTCAGCTTCAGGAAAGTTTCACTTTGGAATATAGTCTGTCCTTCTTCAGGTTCTTAAGATTCTGCATTTCTGTTTTTTTTTATAGGGTTTGAGGATTTTGATTTTGGAACCTAAAGTTGGTTTTGTTGACCTTTTTCTTGCTTTTGTGTGTATATCTGACTCTGTATTGTTTCACTCTTAATAGTTATATTTTAGATATGTTTTTAGTGTCTGCAACGAAATTATATTGGGTACAGAATTGCTTCAACCGCAAGGCAGTTTAGGCCTTCAGTTTTCACTCTTGATTGCCCAAAATATATTATTTGCGGGAATTCACGTTTCTGAGTAGAATTGGCTAGTAGATAAGGAAACAAAGAGTCTTAACCAAATAAAGAAAAAACAAAGAGTCCAATCAATTATTAAACATGGCAATACAATATATTAGAGTTGGGAATTAACATAGAATAAATGATGGCAATACATTAGTAAACCAAAGCAATAAAGTATGTTGCCATGCATATGGCACAAAAGTAAACAAAAAAAAAAAAAAATGCTAACAATGCATAATTGGGGTGATGATGCATGAAACAAAGAGAGGGGGTGACAGAGTGGGACCAAAATAGAGGGAAATAGAGAGAAAAAAGAGTGACAGAGTCTTTAACAAATTCACACTTATCTTCAGTGCTGAAAAATGCAAGTTAAGAAGAAATTCTTTGCTGTTCAAATTTTGGGGTGTTGATCTTTGTGTGGAAGGTCTCTAATTTGTACACGGTGGTGGTCCAAAATGGTCACCCACAAACTGATGGAAGAATTGATTCGCAACTCAATGATTCACGGGTCTACAAATGGGCTGGAAAGGGTCTGAAAAGAGATGAAAGAATTGCAAATGGTGAGTCAGTTCTTTTGTTTTCTGTCTGCTCAATGATTGTCTTGGATTCCTTATGATCAGTTGAGGGAAATTTTCTGGATAAGTGCAATTAGGGCATAATTTTGGTTACTTGGGTCACAATGAGGTTAATTAAGATTTAGGGTTCGCCAATTCGGGATAAATTTTGCCAAAACCCTGATATGGGGGAAAGATATACACTTCAACCCCCTATCTATGTCAAGAACACGAAGCCAAGGCGTTTCATGGATAGCCCCGCCTAGGCGAAAGCCTTGAGGCATGAGGCGAAGCCTCACGGGACCTAAAATTATTAATTATACATGTAATATATCAATAATAGAGTCGAAATCCAACATTATAGAATAATAATCAACAATCAAATAAAAATTAAAAAAAATTCTCCATTGTAGGTGGAAAACCATAACCCTAAAAATGGCCTTAGTTGACGCCTCAGGCATGCCTTGACCACGCCTAGGTGAGTTTAGGCCTACTCCCGCTGGGCATAGGCGTTTTCCTTACCGGCCCACCTCGAAGGCCGCCTAGATGCGCCTCAAGGCTCGTGTTTTAAAACACTGGTCGAGACCCTAAAATTACATGCATCCTTCCATGGATATATGTATTGCCAATTTTTCCTAGATTTGCCTCCTTGGCTGTACATGAATACAGTGCCAAGGCTGTTGATTCATCGATGTGTTTTTCTATTTAAAACATGGTCACCCAAACAATAAAGAATTCCAGGGGTGTGAGTCCGTGTATACATTATAGAACTAATAGAAGTGATTAACAGTTACTATAAGTTTGGGAAATGCCATAAAAAATGAAGAGGGCTCTGTCGAAATTTTGACTGACAAAGCACTTTCTTGGATCTTGGAAGCCCCTGTACAATGGTTTTGGGTTTTTTTGGTATGCTATGTTGTTTTGTTGCTGTTCAAACAAGTTGTGAAGCTGCTTCTTTTCTCTTCTAAACCACTTTTTCCTCCTGCAGATTATTCAACATATCTAAGCATTGATTTGTGATACTTGTGAAGTTGCCGCCTTCCTCTTCTGAACCACTTTTGTAAGAAACGTGAGCTGTTAAAAGTCAGCTCACCTAAAGATAGCAGACATAATAGCTACAGTTGATAACATTGACAAAGTTGATTTTTCTAAAAAAATACGAAAAGGTTTGGAAGGCAATATTGGCTATGCTAAGTACTTATAAAGGTCACAAAAGGTGAGGTATGAGGACGATGAAATTTCCAAAGCGTTATATAGTCGTCATATTGACCTTCATCTGCACATCTGTTTGCTATATAGAACGTGTCGGGTTTTCAATTGCGTACACTTTTGCTGCTGATGCTGCTGGGGTAAATCAAGCAAGTAAAGGCACAATTCTTTCTACATTCTATTATGGCTATGCTTGTTCACAGGTGCCTGGAGGCTGGGCAGCCCAGAAAATTGGGGGAAGGAAGGTTCTTCTCCTTTCATTTGTATTATGGTCAGCTACTTGTGCATTGGTCCCTTTGGACCCCAATCGAGTCTTTGTCATGGTAATTGCTCGGTTGCTTGTTGGTGTCGCACAAGGTTTTATATTCCCCTCAATCCACACAGTTCTAGCACAGTGGGTTCCACCGCATGAAAGATCCAGATCTGTTTCTCTTACGACTTCTGGTATGTACCTAGGTGCCGCTGCAGGAATGCTTTTTCTTCCAAGCCTTGTAAAGTATAGAGGCCCGCAGGATGTCTTTCTTGCTGAGGCAGCACTAGGTGCCATGTGGTCTTTGCTTTGGTTCAAGTATGCCAGCGACCCACCTCGCTCAGAACATCCAAAAGCCACAGCTGCTGGTTTTGGGGAGTCAATGTTGCCAATCAATGGAAGTCATAAATTGAAAATAGAGAATGGAGGAAGTTCCGTCAGATCTGCGAAAATCCCATGGAAGAGAATTATACTCAGTTTGCCAGTTTGGGCAATTGTGGTTAATAATTTCACATTTCACTACGCTTTATATGTGTTAATGAACTGGCTGCCGACATACTTTGAATTGGGCCTCCAGCTTAGCCTTCAGGAAATGGGTTCTTCTAAGATGTTGCCGTACCTCAACATGTTTATTTTCTCAAATATAGGTGGGGTGGTTGCTGATCACCTGGTCACAAAGAGAATCTTGTCTGTTACTAGAACGCGGAAGCTCTTGAACACCATGGGGTTTATAGTTGCTTCTCTTGCACTGATGGCAATTCCCATCTTCAGAACGTCTAGTGGAGCTGTCCTTCTGCTCTTCTGTTGCTCTGGGTTTCTTGGCACTTGGGAGAGCTGGTTTTGCAGTGAACCACATGGATATTGCCCCGAGATATGCAGGCATTGTGATGGGAGTTTCCAACACTGCTGGTACGTTAGCTGGCATTATTGGAGTTGATCTGACCGGCAAACTTCTTGAAGCAGCAAGAAGTGTTGATTCGAGTCTTTCAAGTCCAGAGAGCTGGAGATTGGTGTTCTTCATCCCGGGTTTGCTCTGCATTTTCAGTTCTTTAGTATTTTTACTGTTCTCGACAGGGGAGAGAATTTTTGACTGAGGTAGGTTTTTTCCACGCAAACCTCTTGCTTGTAGCTCGACAATAGATGTGCGTGTGCAGTGATCATTCCTGACAATGTACTGTAGCATATGATGTTGCCTTGGGACAGCATATGAACATGAAAAAAAAATTGGTAGCAAAGCAATAGCAGCTCATATGTGGAGATAGATTACAATTTGTTCGACTTTTAAGCTCTCTGATGCTTCCACCGTATAATTAATTCATGTGTATGAATGAAGGAGTAATGGTTTCAAATTATTACATTCTTTTTTAATGTATTTGCTGAATTTGATTCTTATCTCTATAACAGCATCACGTTTCATTTGGTTAATGGAAATGTGTTTCTTTGTGGAATATCCACGTTTCATTTCGGTGTTGTTATTGGCTCTCCAAATATGTCATCGGGTAATCCTCCTGTACAAGTTTTTGCTTGTGTTTTTATAAATTTGGAGTGCAGGATTTCGGTTTTTGAAGTGTCGGGTGACAGAATGTCCACGTCTAATTTCAATGCTGTTATTGGCTTTCCAAATGTCATCATGCAATCCTCCTGTACAATTTTTTTCTTGTGTTTTTATGAATTTGTAGTGTACGATGTCTTTTTTTAAGTACAAGTGACCGAATAACCCTCCATACATATGACTCACTTCCTTTCCGTCCATGTTGATCAACCATCATTATTTTCCGTCTTCCTTAAAAATATGATGATGACTCATTATGATAAAATAGGAAAGTTGTTTAGTTAGGTCATAAGTCAATGAACCTAAATTGAGAAGCAAAATTGCATGGATTAAACGTAATAATCGTCTACATAATTGGTCTTATATCTAATGGAATTGTTATTTAACACTCCAAAAAAGCTCATTTAGCACTCTAAACTTTCTATAATTAGAATTAAAAATACATTATGAGGAGTATAGAATGTGATTTTTGGAGTGCTAATAGCAGTTCTCATATTTAACCATATTTTCACGAAGAAGACATAATTTGACCAAATTAGAGCGAATATCAAGTTCCAAGTGTAAAATATGAACACTTCTTGGCTCATAAGAATGGTGAGAAACTTCTCTTCAAAACCCTTCGTTGTCAATTTACAAAATTGCATACTTGTGATTGAAACTGTTTATATTATAAATCATTTTGTAAATCAAGATTATTTAATCAAATAACTGTTAAAATAGATTAACGGTTTGTAATGCTTTTTCTGATTTTGATGATTGAACCATCTCATATTCTATTAATTTTTTGCAAAGATGATTTTACGTAGTGATTTATAAATATGAGCAGTTTAATGATAAACAAAAAATTTTGTACATCGATCACAAAGTGTTTCGAGGGGAAGCTCCTACTCACCTTTTGCGTGGTCAAGTTTCATGAACTAGAAAATTACTTGGTATGGGAGGAGGGGAGTAGTTTTGAGTTACATTGGTTATTGAAACGACTTATTTTTAGCTAAGCTCACCATTTTACTCCTGTAACTCAAAGCTTTCCAGGGCAAAGTAAAGCAATTCAATTTTGATTTCACTTTACTTAATGTAACTTAAAAATCACTACTTTACTCTCTGAAACTTAAAATTCCAAAGATAAAACAGAGTGAATTTTGAGTTTAAAGAAGCAAAACGACGTCTTTTGAGTAACAGAGAGTAAAGTGTTACAACCTGAGTTATTGCTAAATATAAGCCCATTGAAAAATATTTTGCTTCATATGACGCAATTGGAGCGTGCAAAAACAAGGAAGTGCAGAGACTTTGACTTCAGACAAAAAGAAACAGGTATTTACCAAAACATGATCAGCTTGCTGATTGGTACAAAAACTTGATCAGCGTACTGATTGGTGCCAAAACTCGAGGAGAGAGAGAAAGAAGAAGAAGAAAAAGAAGGAAATGGAGAGGCGAGGGCGTGGGCGTGGTCGAAATGTTTCTTCTTCCCAATCCACGCGTGGCCGCTCGAACATGTTCGTTTCGAATTCGACCTCCGCCGCAGCCGCTAAATCCTCGAGCAGAGGCGCAACTGGTACTGAGAAAGCACAGAACGACGCCGTAGATAACCATTCCGACGTTCCCGCCATAGTGGGCACTTGCCTCTTGATGTGCCCGGAAGGAGAGAGGGCGCAGCGTGAGCGGCTTCGTGATTTAGCAGTGTTTGAGAGGCTGCATGGAAATCCAAGACAATCATCTCCGGATCTCGCTGTTAAAAAAGTAAGATTAAATGATTACACCTTCGTATTATTATTCTTCTCTTGATTCGATTGGATAATTACTTAAATCAGTATTATCAGTGGGAAAAATCCAACCTTTTTGTTTGGAATGGTACTTTGAGTTGTTCTGATGATCCATTAAGTTCATCTTTTTCTTATGCAAAGATGGGTTTTGGGTGCCCAACAAGCTTATACTTTAGGCCTCATTTGGTATCAAGGACCGGATTGGATCGGATTGGAATGGATAACAGAGTTAATGTCGAGGTGTGAAGGTGTTGGAAATAAAGGGAACTTATCCCTTCTAATCCTACCATTTTTGGGATGGGATGGAAGTATAAGTTTCCTTAATGAGTAATCCGTCTTCTACCGTCATTTGGGACGCCACTTTTTCATTTCTTTATTCAAACATACCCTAAATATTGCGGATTATCTGTTCCAATCCAATCCTAGACACCAGCCGAGGCCTTAGGGTATAGCGTTAATCAAGTTGGTTTGACAGCAAGTGAATGATTGGGATACCGCATGAAAATTAAGCTTCTCCAAATTAGAATTATGACGCCGCCAAGTTCAATATCATCAAAGTAAAATGTCAAGTAAATGACTACGTGATGCCAAATTCGTGCGACCAAATGCACCTTAAGTATCAACTGAATGCAAGGATTTCAGTGAGGGGAATGGATTTCGACTGTAGGGTTATGTTGATTGGAAGAATCGTAATTTCTGATTGTTTCCTGTAACTTTAATGCTGCAACTCATTCAAATGTATTGCAAATTTAAGAAGCTAACACGTTCCTTCTTCCGCTAGTTTTTCAGAACTACGTCTAACAAACAAGTTGAAGCATCGGATGTTCGGCCGCTCCCTGTGTTGGAAGACACCTTAAATTACCTTTTAAACTTGTTTGATTCTAGAGAATATCCTTTTGAAGTGGTTCATGACTTCCTCTTTGATCGAACAAGGTCGATAAGACAGGATCTTAGCATGCAGAATGTTGTCAACGATAAAGTCATCCACATGTATGAGAAAATGGTATGGCCATCCTGCAAAACCTTTTAACTGCCACTATGTTTGAAGCTTCGTTTTCATAGTATGCCGTATGGAGTTAATAGTTTCATTTCAAAGACATGTAAATCTGTTGATGTGGTTGTTTCCATGTGTCGTGAAATCAATTATCGTCCAGTTCAGAATATTATGGATTTTTAAATATTGAAAGAAATATGCATTACCAAAAATGTTATGAATATAGAACTCTCAACCTTTAGGAATGCCAAAATAGTTTTTAAGTTACAGTATTTATTGTACAGGTCAAGTTTCATATCATATCCCTTCGCAAGCTTCAAGGTTGTCGCAGTCAAAATACTTCTTCAACCCATTACCTCAACATGGAACAGCTTGCAAAGACCTTGACATCTCTATTTGATCTGTATGAAGCACATAGGCATTCCAATTCTACATATGAAAACGAAGCTGAGTTTTGTTCGTTTTATGTGCTGCTTCATCTTGGTCCTAACAGCCAACCGATGGTTTGTCTCTATTGCATTTTTATGTGTATTCATTCTATTTCTTCTTGGTTTCCGTTTTGTATTGTGTCCTATGTATGTGAACATTGTTTGTTCTGGTCCCAGGGAGAGTCCCTTTCATGGTGGTTTTCTCACTTGCCTTCCTTGTTAATCAAATCGAAGGAAATGTGCTTTTCTCGAAAGATTTTACGGTAATTTAACTTCCCTTTAATGTTATTTCTTGTTTAGAGAGAATTAGTATGATTAAAGGCTTTTGTTCTTTTTCAACGCGTGAATGTTTTCATTAGCATGGGGTATAAATTAGAAAGATAATTTGTTTCTGCAACAGATTTTTCCGGATGGGCAACTATAAGCGTTTCTTAAGCACTATAGCAGCTGAGGCATCTTATCTTCAATACTGCATTCTCGAGCCTTATATCAATCAGGTAAGAGGTCGTTGAAACTAATTGATTAAGTTTAAAATGTTTTTTTTATAATCTTTTAAACCATTATATACAGTGTAATCATTTCGCTTTCGGGCTGGTTTCTTGTATTATTGACCACTACAAAACAGTAGGATAACTTTCACCTGTCTTTCTAGGACCGCGGATTTTGTTAATCTTAGGTTCCGAGTCTTGTTTAAGTGTTTTAAGGCTAATCCACATTGATCCTTCCTTGTGAGAGTTTATTTCAGTCATCTCTCTGTAATTCTTCAATGCTTGTGATGATAAAATTTAACTCTTCTTTCTTGTGTTTCTTAACTTAAAAGGTTCGAGCGCTTGCTGTCTCGTGTATAAATAATGGTGGATACAAGCTTCATCCGTATCCGCTGGCACACTTGTCTAAGCTCTTGATGATGACGGTAGGCTATCAATAACTGGGATCGACGAAAATGTATCATTATTATTATTATTATTTTGCTAATCACACAAATTTATTATTTTCTGAAGTTGTAAAAGCTGCATGTGGTTTTTCAGGAATCAGATTTGGAGTCTCTTTGTAGAGCTTGTGGTCTTGATATTTGCACAGATGAAGATGGATATAGTTTGTTACCGACTAAGCAAACCACCTTTTGTCATCCAAAGGATGGATTTCAAAGCTACAGAGTTTTGGGTCTGGAAGAATTCGAGAGGTAACTTCAAAAACATTGTATATCAAGTTTGCATTTAGAATTTGCCTTGTGCATATAGAGTTTGCCTGCAAGGGTTTCCGACTGTCCATCGCATTGCCTTCCTGGCTCCCGTACCCTGTGATATGTGTTTGGGATGTTTGCATTGTCCCTCGCCTCCTCGGTATTTTCTTATGTACATCTTAGATGCTTGTTTTGCCAGTCAATCGACTATTTTGGGCTCATGACATAATATGGTTTGGTAGTTGCACAGAAATAGATCAACTAGAAAATCGACGTGTGGATATAGTCCATTTCAGTTCACTAGAGCCATGGTTCAATCCTTAGAAGCACCGTATGAAAGTACCAATGGAGAGTTTAGTAGTAATTGAGAGCCATGTTGAAGTCCAAGGAATTATGTAACTTACTCGTGTGCTTGTTTAATTTCAGGTAATAAGTGCACGCGGTTCGTACTGCGTTCAACGGTCCCTTGATCAATATAAGAAAAATCATGCCTCTCAACCAAAGTATAAAAGATCTCTTTGGTATGGTTGAGTCATACTCTCGAAACATGTTTGTTCCCCGGTTTGGTCTTTTATGTTTCCAAAAGACATTAGCATGGTGCACTGAGGATTCATCTTGACCGCGAGTTCAGCCTTTTATAAAGAAACGTTGTAATATTCTTTCATCTGTCGTGTATCAACCGCACACAGACATGTACATATATTGGTGTTGCAAGGTGGATGAAGGCTTGTCTGACGTTTAGAAGAAGAAAAAGATATGCACCGAGGGACCTGGGAGTGTTTCTTGGAAATTAGAATGGTGACAAGAATGTAGACTTTTGGAAAGGTCGGGGTGATTTGATTCGAGTATTCGAGAAGGGGAAGACACTGGGATTTGATTAATTTCGTTGCATATTGTATTGTTTTACTGTCATCTGCTACGTGCTATCCCAAATGACACATGAAATAAAGGTGTTGACCAAAACTGTACTGTATGATATAAATTGACATTTGAAAGATAACGCATAACGTTATGCATACCTTGGGAGGTCCCATGCACCACAACAAAATATGTTCGCCATAGGAACGATCAAAGGTTGGGACATGAAGCCTGCGCTGCTCTTATTCGATTGAGCGAGACTGAAGAGACTCGGCTTTCACTTGCAGCTGAGCTAAAAAGCAAATGCTTTAGGGTTTTGCTTCTTTCAATTTTGGGCAAGTGTTATGCTTCCTCTTGTCGGCCTGAGAACCGCACTGCCACTGCTGTGTACCTATGACCATGGCAACCTAACCAAGAAAGCCTAACAGTACAAGCTACAATGTTCCAAACGAAACTATGAGCATGTAACTTCAAAAATCAACACCAATTCTAATTTCCACAGACCAGATGTAAGCTACAATGTTCCAAACGAAACTACGAGCATCAAACTCTGATCAAACCACAGACCAGATGCAAAACACATTAACAAAGCTGCATTTAACTTTTCTTCGAAACACACCATTGAAGTCAGATTTTCCAAGTATCCTGCACGTCATTGTATTCCAGTAACCACTCGCCTACATCAAACAACAAGTTCTCTGCCTAATGGAATATGAGAACAAATTAATGCTTCAAGCTGTGAAACATAATCCAAATTCTGTGATTGCACTTGGACTATCCTGACTTTAGCAGCCGAAGCACGATGGTACAACTGCTTGCAGGACAGACCTCACATTCTTCCGATACTCATCAAAGGCTAATTAGGTACTTCAATTTAACATAGTTGCACTAGACTGTTTTCAGGAGTTCCTAACCAACAACCATTTTTTCAGCATAAATTTCGGTGACAGAAATCCACATCCCAGGACTTACAGTACAAGAAAAGTAAAACTTTCATAAATTAAACCCAAAGGCATATCATTAAAAAGTAAGAATTCAGGAGATGATTATATCTGATATTCATATACAAATCTAGAGCAAAAATGAGTTTCCATCGCGAACTTATTGAACAACAATATATTTCCCACAGAAACCATCCCTAAAGAAACATTGTGAAAGAAAAATTTGGAAACGAAAGAAGAAGAACAAGAAAGCATTGACATACTTCCACAAGAATCCAACATGAAACCATACCATTTCTACTAAGATGAAACATAATGCGAAAGCCGGGAAGCCATATTCGCAACCTGCGACTGCATTTGCACTGCCCTGACTTTAGCAGCTGTAGCGCGATGATAGAACTGCTTGCGGGACAATGACCTCACATTCTTCAAGTACTCCTCAATGGCTATTGAACCATCCTGCAATGCCTTATCCAAAGAATACACAACATCTTCAATCGCCAAATCAGAGGCTGTACAATCCAACATCTGCTTCGAAAGCGGGTCAATGCATTCGAAAGCATCGTCCACATCACCATCCAAGCTCCCCCTAGTCTTCCCCTCATTCTCTCTCAACCAGGCCTCCAAAACATCCGAATTCATAAGCACCATCTGCAGCTGCTGCTCCAAACCCTCTTTCTCATCCACCATCTCTTTCAACCCTTTGTTGACCTGCTCGGATCGCTGCCGCAGCACCGCCTGTGCATTGAACAAGCCTTCAATTTCCGCCTCCCTCGTCTTCCTCAACCCTGCCATGTCGCCGTGCACCATCTCCACAAGCTTATTGATCGCATTCCGCTTGAAAACATCGTTCGGATCATCAGCCTGAACCCGAGAAAACGATCCGGTACTTCCATAAGGTGAAGGTGGATACGTCCTCGGCGGGATCGCCGGACGGGCATGATTAACCGAACCGGAAGATCCAGAATAGCCCGAGTAGCTCGAATAACCCGAATTCGACACAGACGACGAAGAATGGCCAAGGTTGGGATTAGGGTTGGGGCTTGGATTGGGATTGGGCCTGCGCTGGGAGAAGAGCGGCGGGTCCTGAGCGAAAACGGCGCTGAGATTCTTGACGAGCTCGACGAGGTTGGAGCTTGGGTAGACCCAGTTCTGCAAGTAGGGGACGGCGACCAAACCGGAAGGGTTGACGTGGGCGTGAGGGCGCTTGATGACCATGTCGCGCGTGGGGTTGACGTAGACGCAGGGCGGCTGGCGAGGGTAGGAATCCATGAGCCAGATGATGACGGGGATGTTGTAGGTGACGGCCCTGATACGACATGGGGATGGTGCCGTCGGCCTGGAGGAGGTTGACGGAGCGACCGTCGTTGTGGGTGAAGGTCGCCGTTTTGGGTTCGAGGGAAGCGTAGGCGGAGGTGACAGAGACGAGGTGGGTGCGGATGAGCCACTTGGTGTCTTCGGAGTAAGGGAGGGCGGAGGGGCCGCGCTGGGAGAGGACGGAGCTCAGGAACTGCTGAATCATTTGGGGGTTCGGTGGGTTTGGACCCGCCGGTGGAACCATCGCAGCAATTTGAACCGGGTCGGGTTCGGAAGGTTGAGATTTGAGATTCCGAGAAGAAGAGCGAGAAGAAGAGAAGGCGAGGATTTTGATCGGAGTGAGTTTTGATCGAATTGAAAATTTGGGTGGAAATTGGGATTTGTTTGTTTGCTACGTTTGCTTAGGAGAGAAGGGAGAAGCCGGAGAAGGGGAGGGAGTGTGAGCGTGTTGGGAACCGGCGAGTGCGTGGCGCGGTGACTTGTACGACTTTTCTGTCCCACTCGTTTTCAACAATATATGGCCTTTTACGTAACGAAAATGTTATTCACGTTGTAGGCTATTTGATTGAACGATTTTAGGGTTTAAAGAGAGAGAGGTTTGACAATATTGAGAGATAAGAGAGATTAATTTAATTATGAGGTGTGTTTGATTTAAAATATTGTGCATTTATTTATAGTAATAGAAAGGGGAAACCTTCTTTTTAGGATTACAACATTTAATAGGTAATCTAATCCTAATAGGAATATATAATACTTTCCCAGATTCCGTAGGATTTACACAATCACATTCTTATTCTAAATATGACTGCAACAATTCTTACTACATTTTTTTATACCATTTGTATCACTTATCAATAGAAATAGAATTCACGTATGTTGCCGAGTTTTGTTTATATTAAAATGATGGGATAGATGTGGTATGAAAATGTCGTAAGTGTAACATTATTTTTATAATAAAAGAAAATTTTATATGGGATTAGAATTATAAGGAAACTACTTCACTCCTTGTGCATTGGATAGGAACTATTCTAAAAGATACATCTTAGTAAATCAAAAGTTTTCATACTATAAATTATTATACAAAAAATTATACGCCATGAAATAGTATAAAAATAAATGGTTGATATCAATAAAAATATTACGAATGGTCAATTTATTTACTGTAGTTGACTAAATGACTTTAGTTTTAAGGGATAATTTGCATAAATAGTCTTGAATTAAGTCCAGGCCTTTATGTTGATTACATATAATCTTAACTTTTTAAAACATTCCAAATAATTAACGTTTAGAAAAATTGACATTTGTTAGCTTCATTAGCTTTGAGTGAACGGTCATAAAGTATCTTGAGGAGAATTCCTCAATCTTAAGAAGCCAAACTTTTTTTACTGTTTAATAACTATTTCATTTTTCAATTTTTAATTGAAACTTATTCGATAGCAGTGTCATAATAATGTAGTTCAAATTTGTCTTTAGTAAAATCAAACTTAAAACCTCTCACTCACAAGTGAAAAGGAATACAACTCATCATAAACCACACACTACGTGGGTTTTATTTATTATTTTTATAATGTATAATTTTCATTCAAAATTTACTAACTTGAATTACTATTTTGTCCCTTATTAATTGAGTTATCTTTCTCAAAGGTTTTAATAAGGGAGGAGCTTTTGTGACATTCTGAATGCTTCACCTTTTCATCCTTAAAAATGAAAAAAAAAAAAAAAAAAAAAAAAGGAAGAAGATTTGGGCCCAAATAAAATGGTATTGTATTGTCCATGCCAACCGAAGGGCAATTGGGTATTTAGAAAGGGGGTTTTAGTACGTACCGGACCCACCCGATTCAATGTTTAGCTGGAGTCTTTACGGATCGTCTAACTCGCGTTGATAATGGTTGACCCGTTAATAACCCGTTTGGTTTCGGGTAAACCTTTGGACGTTCAATTGAATTTGCTCGGTTCAATTCAAAGCCTTCCGACTCTTGCCGACGTCGATTCTGTATGTAATTCTTGAATGGTTTTCGTCGGAGCTGGGCTTCTTCGAGTTGGGAGGACTCGCTGTAGACGGCGTCGAGGAGGGTCTCGTGACTTGGGATCGGAAGTTCTTATTTAGGAGTTGGAGGAGTCCAAGCTTGACTGCCTCTCTCTCTCGCTCTCTCTCTCTAGAAACTCCAACAGTTGACTCTAATCCCTCTCTCTCTCTCTCTCTCTCTCTCTCTCTGTAAGTCTTCCTCTCTCTCTCTAGTTATCTTATTCTTGCTATTCAATTTCAATTTTTTTTTTTTATAATTTAGGGATTAGGAATTAGGGTTTCAGTTAATTTACTAAATAATAATTCAGGGATTGAATTAATGTGTAATTTCTGAGCTGTGGCTTTATGACTTATAATAATGTAGTTGAAGATGTAGAAATAAATAATAGCAGTGCTCAGAGGGTTTCTACATCTGGGTTGGGGCCTAATGCTCGAATTTGCCGCATATATATCCCCCTTATTTAAACCCCCACATCATACAAGTTTCATTCTTTTAAGTGGCAAACGGGTTCATTTACCCGTAGAAACTGTAGACCCAAATAAGAGAACGAAAGAACCGGAAGAAATGGCTTAGTAATTTCAATTTTAAGCTTTCTAGTAGTTTTCAGAGCCAACTAGGATTTCGGCATCAACTTCAGCTTCAGAAAAGCTTCACTTTGGAATATAATCTGCTCTTCATTCAAGGTTCTTAAGATTCTGCATTGCTGTTCTTCTTGGTTTTGGTTTTTGGGGGTTTGAGGATTTAGATTTTGCGGTCTTCAGTTGGTTTTATTAACCTTCTTGCTTTGTTCGTTGATTAAGTGTGTTTAAATTGTATAGGTGTCTTACTCAGTATTGTTTCACTCTTAGTAATCATAGGTGTCTGGGTGGTGAATTCCTCTTGTACAATTGCTGCAAATATAATTAAACCATTTCGGGAGATTGAATATATGCGTACGTCAATTTCCTCTAACTAAGCAAGTAAGGTTCAACCATTTAAATCCACTACTGCCAGTTACAAGACCGTATGGCAACTAATTGTCCAAGTTCTTTGGTTTGGTGGAGCTAGAGAATAGGAATTGTGAGGTGTTAATTAAATGGTAAGGAAGATTACCAGACGATTAGATAGGAATCGGATTGGGGCACTGGTAGGCGTTTGAGTGATCTTAAGGTTTAACAAAAAGGTAATAATTAAAACATCACATCCTTTTTCTAGAGAAGCATTTTCTTGTCCAAAGTATATGATATGCCTTTTCATCTAACAAACCCGATTGTTCTCTTCTCTAAGCCTCTCGTGATCTCATCCTAGGTTTACATGATTATATCATCACTAAGTGCAATGATTTGGCGTTGCTGGTGAGGTAGTCAGCCAAACTTTATGATTGCCCATGAATCCAACATTTATTTTTCAAGATCCTTGGCAAAATGTTATCCTTATATCAGTGTCAAATTTTTTATATCGCTGTATATATGGTATCCATGTTTTAGTTAAATGGAGATCTTATATTTTTTATGTGAAATTTCTATTATGTTAATTGTTTTTGCAATTGTATGGGTTCACATCTGTGCTCTGGTGATTCTGGTAATATATGTTGTTGGAATTCCTATTCTCTCTTTAAGTAGAAGTTTGACTGCTATACATGATGTTCATAGTGATTTTCTGTTCTTGAACTTTTTGATATATATTGATATGCTATTGGTTTTATGCAGGACTTTGTTTTTGTGGAATCATTTAATTGGGATAAGCTGTTTGAGCTGAGCACATTTATAATTTTGGATATATAATGCTTCAATTGTTTCTATCAGAGCCCATCTGGAATGACAATGGAGATGAGAATTCTGCCAAGATTAGAGTATCTCTCTTGAGTCAATTGGAATCTACTATTTGGTTGTTCATGGCATCTGGAGGCCGTTCAGAGGCTCGACTGTGGCTTTGTAATACGATAGGCAGAATAAGTTCTCTCACTCGTCACAATCAGTGCGAGTTACTTTTGGACTTACTGAGATCTAAACCCCTTAAGAAGGGATTAGCATCTCAGCTTGTAGAAATGATATTTGAGAATAGTCCACATAAAGCAGGGTCTATCATATCCAAGCGAAGTTACACACTAAAGAAATTTTTTGAAGGCAAGTAAATTTTGTTGCATACATTCAGTTCATGTTTGAGTTACTTTTCCCATCACAGAATTTGGTGCTCTCTTCTTTCAATAACCTTAGTTTCTTGTATGTTTAACTTCCGGATATCATCATTCTCCGCCTAGTTTCTGTAGCTTAAGTGATGTGAATGTTCATACCCCAGTATGTGATTATTTGCTTCCTTATGATTGCATAAATTATTAGTGACTACCATGCATGTTTATCCCTGTGGAAGATTGATAAATATATCCATGTTTTGTGGATGTTTTAGGACTTCTGACAATCACATACTCGTTCAAAAATGCAGGAAATCCAACACGAATATCTAAATGGTTTTCTAAAGCTGGTGGTGGATTGGGCCATGAACCAGGTGCCAAGGCGCTATCACAATTTTCTTTTGTTAATCGAGATACTTGTTGGGAGGAACTTGAGTGGAAGGGAAAACACGGGCAATCGCCAGCAGTGGTTGCTACAAAACCCCATTACTTTCTTGATTTGGATGTCCAGGCAACTGTGGAGAATTTCCTTGAAAATGTCCCTGAATTTTGGTCTTCCAATGAGTTTTCCGAGTCACTTAAAGATGGTGAAATTCTGTTTGTTGACAGAAAATATTTTGTGGAATATTTTGTTGATCTGATGTATAAAGAGGATTCAAAAGATGTTTGGAAAGTTACAAGTGAGTTCCTGAAGGAGGAGTGTTTTTCTTCCTTATGCAAGCGCCTTCTTATTACTCTTGATGAGTCGGATTTATGTGATTTTCTTAAAATGCTATACAAGTATCTCAACCCTAGAATGGAGCAGAAGGATCTTATGGACTCATCTTATTTGTTTGAGGTTATACTTTCTAAGTGTGCAGATTTTAGAAGCTTTGATGAGATATTACTGTTAAATGCAGTTTTTAATCATGGACGCCAACTTTTACGACTTCTACGAGATGAAGAGGGCCATGAAGAACAAGCAAGAATTAAAGATATTGTTTCGAAGATCTGCACAATCCCAAGTGATAACAGTAGCTTGGGCCCAATAATCAAAGATTGCTTTAAAATGAAGAATATACAAGCATTAAAGTTGCTGGGGCTTCAGTCATGGGTTATTTATTACAGTTTATCAGAACAATGCCGGACTCGTGATTCTTGGGAATCATTATTTTTGTGTAATGCAATAAGTTTCCGAACATCAGATAGATATTCATTTCTAGACGATCAAGGAGCCTACGAAGAAGGTGGTTCTGATTTGGATCGTAAAGCATCCAAAACAGTTAAGCACAAGAAAAAGCATAGTAGTAGAAGGAAAAGAAAAACAAGGGGCTTTGATCACATGACAGCTATGACAATGAGGTGCTGGATTTGCAATCAAATGCTGGAATGTTGGTTTCTCTCAATTGATGAGTATTCTGCATCATGGAATATTGTAAGTTTGTCATAGACTCTACTTATGTCTATTATAATTTTGCCTCTCGATTGATAATTTTAATGTGGTCATGTGCATAGAGAATTTGTGGAAATCTATTTTCTGTAGTAAGCATCGGTAGTGTAGAGCAAAGCTTAACGAGTCCCTCATACATATAATTATACTTGAAAGTGTGTCAAGGAAGTAGATTCATTGAACTGCATGGTGTGTTTTGGAGGATCTATAACTACTATCGGTTGATTAGTCAAATGGCAAATTTCCTTGAGTTCATATTAGAGATTAGTGATTTTTTCTCTTTTTGCTGATGATTCAGATTAAACCTTCTCATCATTTGGGATATCTTAGTCGGTAAAGTGTTGCACTAATATATTATTTGTTATATTAGTTCATTTTACCCATGTTTTAGATGACGTGGACATCAGTTGAGAGGAGCCTAGGCAACGTTCACATTTCCCATAACCCAAACATTGCATGCTTGGCCAGTGTGGCCTTTGACAATACTAGTCGCCCAGAGAAAGAATAACTAGAGGGGCCACTGCCAAGTGTGCAGCATTTGGGCGTAAGGTGTTTGTCAAATTTGAAAATGCCGGCTCATATCACAGCTGATGTCCGTGTCATCTATAAATTGGGTCTCATATTACTTGATGCTCATAACTTTGGCTTGGCCTAACAGTCAAAGCAACGAAAGGATAACATTCAAGCAATCTCCGTATGTTGTCTGACAAAAAATTGGGTGAAGTTTTTCATGGTCTTTTTATTTAATTTATCCGTTTTTGGTTTTATTCATGGCTGATGGTTGTATTAGTTTGAGCGGCTTTGATTTCTTTTTTTTTCCCTTTCTATTGCTTGTTTTGAATTAATTGTATCCTTCTAATTTTTGCATCTTTCCTTGTGGAGTTAGAAGATGAGGGGTTTATTATATGTTTGACGGTATTCTAATAATTTTTTTTTTTGTTTGTAGGAGGATTTACCTGAATATCTTTCCAAGTATTGCTTGTCAACATGGATGAAGTGGGTGCTTGAAGAATGGGGTCAATAAGTTTCATTGGATATATAGAATTATTCTTCTTATTCTCCAATGCCTGGACAACTACCATTGTAAGTAGGAGGGGTTGAATTCATTGCATCGGTTTAAGTTGTTTTCTTTAACTAACACCCTTTCATTTCTTCTGGAACATGCCCCATGATATTTGTTGTCCAACCCCACCCCAACCACCCCCCCCCCCCCCACAACAAAAAAACCAAAAAAAAAAAAAACAATGCTTTGTTTATATACTTTAATTTCTTTGCTAATTAATTACAAGTAACCTTGTGTTTCAATTTTGTCTTCGATCTTTTAATTCGATAATGTCAACCTTTAAACAAAGACTTACATTAAATAGAACGTCAGTTATTTAGACATGTTAAATGTGGATGGAAAACACTATCTTCCACATGAGAAATAAAGAAGAGATGGTTTAGATGCTTGGATTCCATATTTCAACCCATCCACATACCAGACAGCAAGAAGGCACCCCCTTCTTCTCCTTTGAATCTTTGATTAAGTAATCTTATGGTTCAAGGTTTTGAGGTGGGTGTTGAGAAAATGAAGATATCATGAAGAGCAAGAGGAAAGATTGTTTTTTTTTTTTTTTTTCTTTTCCCTTTTGGTGTTATGCCAACGTGTGATGGAACTGGTCTGGTAGGCTAGCTGGTTTACCATTTTGGGGATTGACGCTGGGATTTGTTCTTGCATAGTGGTTCGGATGCATATCTGACTTCTGACTTTCGAGTATTTTTAATTAGGTTCATTTATGGATTCAGTGTGATGCTAAATTTAAATTTTGAAACCTTTTTGTTTCAATAGTTACCCCTACGCATTCTTGAGGGCTTTGCATGCAAGAGGCTAGATGTTATTCCTTTCTTTGACATTTGTACTTTGCATAATTTCAGGTAATATGAAAATTTTCAATTGTGTTAAACTGTCACTTGATGGGTATAAGAAAGAATTTACCATGAGGCATAGTATAGAAGACCGTTCTATTTGGTGCAGCTATCAATGTTTGTCAATACTATGGTGCTCATTTTTGTGCAAGATTCTTATTGAAAGTGTAGCATCCACAAGGCTATTCACATTTGACGAGATTTTCTGGCGTTGAAGTTTAAGATATGAAAGTAAAAGCGTGACATTCATAAGGTTATTCACATTTGACTAGATTTGCTGGTATTGAAGTCCAAGATATGAATACTAGAGCAGGATCATGTTTAGAGATGAAGTGTCCGTGGTTTATCATCTAAATGCTTTTGTTGAAAGGTTGGGTTTTTTTTTCACTGATGAGAATTTGTCAAATGAAGAATTTGGATTACCAGTTGGTATGCACATCGAGCTGCTGCCTTCTCGAGTGGGTGAATAGTATCTGGTTGGGGTAAAACTATCCAAGATATTTGATTGCTACTTTGGTACTTGTGTTTCCAAAAGAAATTATGTAATATTTTCTGTATCTCATGCATCGCCCACCCAAGGACATGTATATGTTGGTATTGCACAAGGCGGATGAAGGCTTGTATCATCTGACGTCGACCAAATGTCTGATTGAAGATGAGAAGACAATCCTTAGGGTTACGAATTTGAAACATGTTTCTACAGGCTTGTGGCACAGAAGTTATGCTTGCTGAGATAGAAGTAAAACTGTCCAGCACAGTGAGTTCCCATTCTTCTTACAGAAGAAAGGAGAAAGTTGGTAAGCCTCGTTCTTCAGATGGTAGCAAGGATGCAGAGTTTAAGCGAGCCTACTACGAGCGAGAGGTTTGATATTGATCGTGCTCAAATTAAATATTTACTCTCTCGTACTAGCTCTCTCTTTTCTCATTTTAGTAGATTATAGGACTCATATTATTGCAGTTTAGGAGATGGACGACCTGCGTTTCGTTTTCCTAGAAAGCACAACCTTTTACTTCAAGCTTGTAGAAACTTATTTTGAATGCGTTAAATGATGTGGGGCTCTTATCTTGAGATTTGTTTATCATTTTCTTGATTGGATATATTTGGATGCATACAAAAGAGATTTTTCGGTGTATTTAGAACACAAGTCGGTAAGCGGGAGCCATGTCATTTTTTTTAGTGTTTTAGTTTCCCATGCTTGCGTTTACTTTCATAATATGTAGAGCGGTTAATCCACAACTATCTTGGTTCCATTCGGTTTGGTTTAACTGCTCTACAAATAGGCTGAACCGAATGGAACCAAAATAATCTTAACAACCTAGAGCCCTCTTGCAAGCTTCGACTAAACAGTCCTGCAATTTACAATTAAGGGAATTTGATTTAGGTCGTAAAATTTCAACCTAAGTCAATAGTCATTTCATTTTGTAGCGCATGTCACTCAGCAGAAACAACTATGCTTTCCAATTAAGGTCTAGACCCCTTCCTAATATTTCTTATTATTGACATTTAAAAGAAAATTGATATTATTTATATTAAAGGGAAGGGGGTAGGTTTAGCCTCATAATGGACTAACAATAATGTAGTTCAAATTCGCCTTTGGCAAGAATCGAACCTAAAACCGCTCACTTACATGTGAAAAGGAATACCACTAGACTGTAGTATTAAGTTGCTTATTATTGACCTTTTTAAAAGCACAAAATGTTAATTGACTCAATTCTAATGTTGAAAATATTTAGTAACCTAAGACAAATTACCTAGATTTTAAATTAGCAATCTTGAGTGAAAAATGAAAGTTATGCTTTTAGTTTTGGCAACATATTAACTAGTAATGTTCCAGGGTTGCATTATTGCATGGTCTCTTAGTATTGAGATTAACTATGAAGGCTCTGCGGATGTTGGGGTTAGCCAAAGTAGATTTCTCACCCTGAGTTCCGTTCTCTTGGTCAGCAAGTGACTTAAACACTAAAAACACATTTATTTATTTTCTACCCTTGATATCAAATCAAATGAAGAGCAACCAGACCAAGAAAACAATTTTGTTCTCCGTACCGTAGTATAATTCGACACTCGTTATGTGTGGCAAGTACAATCAATTGATCGGGAAAAAAAAATCAAAACTGATAGGAGCCCTCTGGTTGAACAAGAAACTAAGGAACAAAAGTGAATATGGAAAGCTAATCTAGAGATTCCGATACATATAAGAGGGACTTGCCTAGCTCCCTTGCAAGTTACAATCCGGTCAGAACAGACACCCAGAAACAACGTTAGGCCCAAAGCAGTGTCACCACGAAAATCAAAACGAGGGCTAGTCCAAAGCAAATTCCAACAATCGCCGTGAAAGCCTGGAGTATGAAATGAAATGAGATCGATAATGGTAACCATAACATATAAAGGAATTTCGAAAATTCATATTACCTTGCCCTGAGACTTAAAATGGAACTTGACCGTGAACCATGACAGTCCTTTGTCCACAAAAGGAGCAAGAGCAAGGGCCCTGCATAAAAAGTTATCCAGGAATCAAATGTCCCTTGACGCACGGCTTATATACAAAGCACAAGCTCACACTCGGAACATTCATACATTCTTCGAAACAACGAAATTATCAAAGCACAAGAGTCATATGATTTGCTATATTCTCTCACAAAATCGAAACTGGAATTCACAGCCAAGGTTGACAAACCAAAAACTGTTATCAACCTCTTAGGTGCCTGTGGCTGTGGGTGACAGCTATCAAAATTACTTTTAAGTTGTTTTTAGGTCTTGGCAACTCAAAAATCATAAAACCATGACAACGTTCTGAAAAGATAAGGAAATTTAAGAAATGGATAGCTGGAATTTGGATCTAGCAACTCACCCTCCAGCTCGTACAAGCTTTGTAACCTGGCTTCCAGCCCACACCATGGCCATTACTTTAAGGAATCTGCAAATCAATATAATGTTAATGTGATCACTATGTTTGACGATAGTGCATAGCCGGGTGAAAAAAAATTCTGAAATTCAGTGATATTCATAACAATTACCTCTTAACAGCTGCGAGGTAACCCATCCTCCCCGGTGCTGGAGCAACATAGAACCTAATGGAGAAAGGAAGGAGTTCAGAGTTACAATTATTATACCAAATTTACATGAGCAACTGCACAAGCAATACAGTAATAACAACAAAATTTACGGTACTTTCTTACTCCACTTACCATACCAAGAGAAACGTCGTAAGATAGTAAGCAGTATTCAATAGCCCATATGACAAAAACCCAGAAATTCCGTATCTCCTCAATTTCTTCAAAATCCTGGGAAGTTGAACAAACAGGAACAAAAGCATCGGCTCAAGGAAGGCAAAAAGAAAACGCAAATAGCAAGGCTAAGCTGATTGAAAGGTAGAAATTTGAACTTATTCATAAGCAGAAATTTGATTTAAATAAGAAAAGCAATACAATATACAAAAACAAAACATATATAATAACCAAATACTCCATATGGATTCAAGCATCTATGAATTAATTAAAGGTATCGTTTGTCAAGTAAGACACTCAAACAAAATTTTATATTTCTTGGGTCACCAACAGTATTTCAGAAACGATCAATTTTCCCAGCAGAATGTTAACAACTTAATATCAACTTGAATCTTTTAGAAAATCTCATTCCAGGCCATGAGAAAAGTCTACTAAAAACCAATATCAACACCATACACGAGACAGATCTGCACCATATTGCTTGAAATATCATGCTTGTAGCCACTATATCTATTGTGAATGCCCATTAAAGATTGTATAACCCTAGACCACAGCGTAAAACTTGTACATCACAGGGTATCATCCTCTTGACCGTCTAGTGGAAAGTTGCCTATATAGTGCACTAAATTATGTTAATTCACCTAGAACTTGGAATAATTATGGTTGACACCATAAATAAATGACTTGAATGACAGAGAAGCAACAATTTTCATTCCTTGTGTCAAAGAAATTTTGACAACAAGCTACAAATCTTGATTCTTGTTAAAAGAATAAAACACAAGGGCTACTTATCTTAGGAAGATTTTTGTTTTCTTGTTCTCTTTTTTTTGGGTGCCAAATCGCCAATGAACAGGCATACACTACAAAATGCAGGTGAGACTGTTCACCATCCCAAATCCTATCTCAAACTATTTTCCAACTTCAGAACTTGAAAGCCTCGTTCTTAAGGAAAAAAATCATGAAGGAGGCATAACAAACTAAGTTACTAACATGTCATTGGCTAGCTCAAGACAGAAGTTACCTCCTCAAGGATCTAGCTTTAGTATCCCTTATTTGTCATGAGATTACCTTTACCTTTGTCGAGATATCCAGCATACAAAAACATTTCTGGGCCATCCAAGGGTGACTTCCTTAAAATTCACTCAACTATAGATCTTATATTATTTTGCAAGCGACCGCAAAGGTAACCGCCTACTCATTGCCTAGTTGTATAACACAGACATTATAACTTTTATGACTACCTTTTGAAATTAGCTCTCATCTGTGACTAATCTCCTAACAGGTCAATTATACATCTATTGTACGATGAATATGGAGTTCAAATACTGACTCGCCCTCATCACGTCACTAACAACAATCAGTAGCCTTTAGTATGAACCAAAAACATTGTAAGGCAAATAGAAAGTACTCGTTGGATGTGAAAGGTACTCCTTGTCCACTATCAATCTTTCCAACTGAACCTAAAAAACATTGAAATAAGTTCCTATTAACGCATACAAGGTCAAAATAAATAAAAGCATCCCAATAAAAATTTAATATATTTTATACTCATCCATACAGTTTGGAATATTATATACCTTCAGATTCAGCAGAGAAGCTTTCAGCACCCGACAAACCATAATCCTGCTCACACACCAAAGACACAACAGAGACACCTTCGTATCAGAAAAGTTAAATTGAACCGAAACCGAACAAGAAAAGACTCATGCCCCTAAGTATACACTCTTTCACATGTATTTTACATAGACCAACTAATACCAGAACTGTATGAAATATATAGGTTGTAATTATTTAGATTCATAGCACCCATATATATTTAATCAACAGTAAACTTCAGGGGATAACTTAGACATAAATAAAAGTGCCATTCTTCTTGGATTTCTGGGTGATTAGTGTTACACACTTGAGTTTCGCTTATATTACAACATTTTGTCTTTCAGTGCAGTATACGAAAGCAGTAAGCACACTGCACTAGTAATGGTAGTTTCACAACATCACTTATCCAAACTAAACAAATAAAAGAGTCATAAAAAGTCAAAAAAAAAAAAAAAAAAAAAGAAATCACATCTGATGTGATGTACCTCTCATCCAATCATTTAGCTTGTAATATCAGTAATAAATGAATTCTTATAAATCAGTCAATTTACATCGGTAACAATGTGAATCGAAGGAGAATTGTTTGATTTTGCCACTCTTGTAAGCACAAGTAGGTCTTACATTGGCTACTAAGTTGACGATTCTCAAATAACGTTTATGGGGTATTGTGAGTCATAATGTATTCTTTATAAGCTATGTTTTTCCTTAACCGTTCAAAACCTCTACGACATTCAAAACCTTTATCCTCCCAAGTTCCATCCTACTTCCTCCAGTCCATATTTAACACATGAAAATGCAATAGACAGACACTAATACCGGGTCAATCCCAAATTTGATATTTTTCATCAAAAGGAAAAATAAGCAGAGTCCGATTCGATTCGAAATTAAAGGGGAACAATTGACTTGACATAAGACAATGTTGTTGATGAAAGAAAAAACCCAAAATACACTGACATTGTTGTTGCCATTGGCTGACGAGAAATGTCGAAACCGGTTCTTCTGATTCAGAGAAATTTGGGTGAGCTTAGGCGATGAAATTGGAACCCAGGAATTTTTCAAGTACGCAAACTCATTGCAGCCCTAAAACACAAATCAAGAAAGATAAGAGTGCTGCATAGCAGCGACGGTAATAAACTAAATAAAATGAATAATTAAGTAATTAATTAGTAAAAACGCAGAGATTTGTTACCGTGTTATGCAATTGCAGAAGGGGAATGGAGAGAGTTGTGAGCGCCAAGGAAGGAGGCATGATCGGGAGAGAAAGAGAGAGATTGGAGGAGGAGACGCGGACAGCTTTTGAGCGCGCCAACTTAAAGAAGTGGTCGTATTTCTCGAATAAGTCGTTGGATTAGAAATTATTATAAATTTTTTTATTTAAAATTAAATATGAACAGTATCTAACGAAAACTGATCATACAATACATGATAAATACATAATTGGAGGATCCTCTGGACCCTCATTCATATTTCTCTACTTAAAGCATGGGGATATTTTTTTTGTTTCAAATATTTGTCGATTTGCACTCTAAACTTGTAGAGAACTTGTTACTTCCCTCTGAACTTTAATTTTGGTCAATTAGCCTTGAACTTTTATAATTAGTTAATTTTACACCTGAACGTTAATTTTAGCTAATTATCATCTGAACTTTTATAAATAGCCAATTTTCCTCTGACGCTAGATTTTAAAAAAAGTTCTATTTTGATCACGTAGACAACACATTACAATTGTATGGAGAAAAAAGAAAGGAAAACTAACGAAAAGTTCAAAAAAAATTTATGAAAAATGACAAATAAAGGTGTAGTGAATAGTACCAGGAAAAGGTAAAAATGTGGTTTTTCATTAAAAATGAACAGTACCGGAAGTGTTTCGTTAAAACTCTAAAAAAGAACAGAAAAGTGGAGGGATGAAAAATTTAAAATCCAACACTAGGGGAAGTTGACTATTTATAAAATTTTATGGGTAATTAGCTAAAGTTAACGTTCAGGTGGAAAATTGGTTAATGATAAAAGTTTAGGAATAATCGGCTATAATTAAAGTACGAATACCTTTTTTCTGTGTTTGGATTTGTTTTGGTTTTTGCGAAATTAGTTTAATATTTTATAAATTTGTTAATTTTTCTAATTATATTCTGGCTGTACTTTGATCATTCTATATATACATATATATATATATTATCAATTTACTCAATTAGATGGATGATTTTTTTTTTTTTAAAGTACGATATTCATTAAAGTAGAATATAAGATGTACAATTACTAAGGATTGGATGCATAAAATGAACCTCGATATAAACATTGTCGGATATTTCAATTTGGACGAAGAAAAAAGATCATCCGCACCAAACTAATACTCCGAAGTAGTATCATCAAGCAGAAGGTCAATGATTACGTGGTTACTCAAACCAAATTACAAAATTGTCACCAAATAAGCTCAGTCAAACGAGCCAATCGATGGGCTACCTTATTCGTTGCACGTCCTCTGTGAAAATGTCTGCAATCACATTCCAAATTGTGAGGCATTCAGCTCGCCCTCTCTTTGCAGTGCAGCTATAACCATAAAATCGATAGGAAACAAACAAACAAACAAAAATGTTGTGAAAATAAAATAAAATATTTGAGAGTGAGAGTGATGGGCTCAGCTCTTTATGAGATATGTTTTATGTTTTTTCTTTTATTATTGTGTCTTTATTTATTATAATTATAAATAAGGTTTACTTGATCTTCAACTCCAAGTAATACGAGTCATTATTTTTAAGTTTACACAATCATATTCTTAGAATAATTTTATTCGCAGCACTCGCTCTTAAGTGTGTTACAAGTTAATAAGTAGTTGCATCAGGTTTTCATGATAATGTAAGAGTGATTAAGAAAGTTATCTCGCTCGAGAAAGGCAATGCATTTGCGAGTCTTTGGTAGGAATCCATATAAGGGTATGATTGAGTTGAGAATTTATTTTTCTTTTCATTCAGGTGGTCGTTCTGTTTTTTCTTGACAATGTCGTCCAAAATTGCATTGTCCTCATCCTCGGCCAAAAAGCACTCATTCTTGCATTATCCTCCAAAGGTGATCACATAGTCTCTCAATGTTGATGTGAAGAACCACTAGAGGAATGATGCTCAAAATTTGAATTTGAAGTTTATGAAGATATCATAGTCAATACTACAAAAAGCACAACAATAATCTGAATAAGGACACCAGCGATCAAAAGAAGAAGGTAGTAAAAATAAGATATGACATTTTCAACAAAGATGGAGACGACGATCAATAAACTCATTGCAATGGACAAAATTGTTTTATTTCATTTAGTCCATCACATTTTTGTCATTATAAACTTATTTATAGAGCTCTCTATAAATGTCTTTGCTGTGTTTGTAATAAAGAATGACGTCACTAGTTAAAAAATAAAGCGAAATTATGATTGGTTGAAATTCACGTTGAAATACAAAAGGTAAGAAAATTCTATTCATGATACTCAAAAAATGTTAAATTTTATCTTGATGCATTTGATCTGAAAACAAACAATACAAGAGTTAGGCTTGGTAAATATAAATGTGAAAAATAAAATATAACTTTGTATGTTGCGCATAAGTCACGGTAATTAAAAAAAAAAAAAAAAAAAAAAAAAGCCTTCGCATTTGTATAAACGCCTGCACGACAACTATATGGCTCCACAAAAACCCTTCATGTGAAATCTCTCTGCGCCTCTCTTTAGTCGCACTGAAATCTTGACCGGCCTCTCTTTAGTCGCACTGAAATCTTGACCGAGTTACTGAGAGGATGCTATTACTTAAAAAATAAAAAAAATCTGATAATTCAATTTCAAAGTACGTAAAAATGAAGAATGGGCGACGTTAGGCATTTGACTAACTGGGCATGGATTCAAAACATTACTAGAGTTACCTTAACTTTTCCTCCAGATCAATTCTTTTGTCTTTTGTTTTTTTTTTTTTTGGACAGTGAAGAATTTTATTACAACAAAACGTAACTTACAACAAAAGGCCTAACACACATTTTAATTACAACAAAGAAAGCCTAAAACAAAGACAAAATAGAAAAAAGGCCCCACAACAGTAAGGTCTAGAAACCAAATAGCTTATGTCAGAAGATTCCATAGCCATCGCCACCCTCTGAAACAGGTCCTTCACGCGCTTCACTTCCTCGATCCCATAGCGCCTCCACAGAAGCCACCTCCAACCCCAAAATTGCTCAACAACAAAAAAACCTTGTTTTCTTTTGTTTTGCATCCTATTTTTCTGCAGTAAGAGCTTAATATTTTTTAGTTTCCTCTAATATCCTATGTAGAAGTGCCGTGAAAAAAATTGTATGTCTTACGTGATACTATTATCTAAAAGACTCTCGAAAATTGATAATAATTTAAATACAACGCAACTCGTCGTCTCATCTTTTATAGACATTTGACGGGAAATAAATGTTTAATTAATATTTAATTTCAATGTCGAACGTTAAATGCGTGACTGTTTTGTTTGGTAAATCGTACACAAATGTTATGGTTTTGCCACTTCGAATTGGAAATGGGTATTTTATGAAATATTACTTCATGAAATCTCCATTTATTCAAAGCAGTCTTGTTTTTTATTCATTCAATTGCACGAAGAATTAACAGAGAAATTAGACATAACGTTAAAAATTATTAGTACTTCAAAAATCTTCTCCGTGGATTTTTTTTTAATTATAAAAAATTTAGGGTGCGAAATGAAATTTCTAAGGTGCTAATAACAATTTCTAAAAAAATATATTTCTAAACTAAGAGTATGGAAAGTGGAAGACCAAAAATGTATCAGATAGCATTATTAATTTGTTTTACAAAATTTCAACAAGTTATATGAGTTATCCAAACAACATAATTAGACATTCTGTCATTTAAATTCCATCAAATATATAAACTTTTATGAAAATTTAAATTTCGTCAGTTCAGAATTTCTAGTAATTTATAATTTGTTTGTTTAAACAATAATATTATTGGGTCGTTTAAGTGCGTTTAAAAAAATATTTTTGGATTACAAAAACGCTTAAGTGTGCTTCCTGGAAGAAGTACCGGCTGTACTTTTTTTAGAAAGCATTTTAAGTACCATACTATGATTCACTTACATTTTTACTAAAAATTAGTTATAAAAATACTTTCAGAGACAAATAATGCTTTAAGGAATTATAAAAATACTTCTAAACGAGCTTAGAATTCCATTTTCTTCACAAATAGTCCCAAGAATTATAATAACAGGTAATTTAGAAAAGCCGAGCTCCAGACGGGAAGGTTTTGTTATGAAAAGCCGAGTTGCTGGCGCGCGAACCAAAATATTCTATCCGGTGCGAAACAAACATAGAGATGAATCGGAATCATCCAGCAGTGAAAGGGAAAGTTCATATGAAGGTTAGTTACTTTCTTGCTTATTCTGATTCTCTCTGGGTTTTCTTTTCTCGTGCAACATCCATGATTATTTTTTGTTGTTGAAAGTTGAAGATTTAAGGTGATGCTGTACACGCATCGGATTCTCGCCCCTCTTGTTTCCTCCCCTTCTCTCCTCCTCTCACACATACATTGCTTTCTCTCTTATTTTTTTATAAAAAAATTAATATAAGATGTTAATGTGGAAAGGGGAAAGAGATCAGGATGGGAAAAAATCCTCCTCCTGCATAGATGTGGTGTGGATAAGTTCCATAACCACAAAGCAAAAAGTTTGACCAACAAATTTCAACCACAACTTGGTGTTAGTTGTGAGATTGTTTAATGTAATTTCAGTAACCTACTGAAATACTAGCTGTTATAGCACTGAACTTGTACTTTAGGATGATGGAATTATAAAGTTATTCAATTTGATGTTTTTGAGCTGATGTTATGCATGCAAGGTTCCGATTCTTGAAAAAGAGTTACGGAATGGGAACCACAAGAAAGTGCGTCAAAATGTCTGTCCCCCTCATCTTGAACCATATATATTGTAGGTCTTATTTCACATTATATTTCAAACGATCCAACAGTTTTCTACCAACAATTACTCAAATCAAATCAGAAACCATATGACCGTTTGGATTAAATGGTAGACATTTAGTGTTTCTTTGCCCAAAGGACAAACTCTCAGGGATTAATATAATTGCTTCTTTAGATTGAGAAAGATTACAGTCAGTTCTCTTCTTGTTTTCTTATGATGAGTACCTCATTGCTTGTTATTTCTTGACTACTCCTCCAATATTTTGCAGTGTGCTTCTTCTGCCTCTTGTCTCGTACTCTGTCTGTGTGTCATGCTTGCGGGCATGCGTGCTGCGTGGTTATTGAGGAGTTAAGTTAAAGAAAATTATATAGGCTAACTATGGTATACCCAGTTTAAGATAGTTTGCAGGTGTTATATTAGTTTTAACTAATTTTTTTTCTTACACGTGCAATTTTCTTGCGTTCAGTAAATAATTCTTAGGGTAGTTTATATATCAGAAGAGGTAGCATGCCAGGATAATCCCAACAGAATAATAAGTCAAATCCATCCTGTGAGATGAACATATCATCAAGATTCATCAAAAAATATTTTGGCTTCATCAGGGATTGTACTTTCTGATGATACTGTGGATGATGATACGAGGGACATGTAGTATGAGTTGGAGGCAAGTTTCCTCCATAAATGAACACATACGTGAATGCAGTCAAAGAGTGTGTCACTTGTGGCATCTATGATGGATGAGACCGGAGGTGGCATCTTGGTGGAGGATAAGCCAAGAGGTGAACGAGATTCTTAGGGTCCTTCCTGGAGTTGAAGAGAAGATGAGCATACTTGTTATCTTCCAAATTTTACACAAGAATAACATAGCGTTATTCATGGCCTTTAATGATCTTGATGCTCAGATTGATTGGCTTAAGAAATTTATGGAGTGAATGCCTCTAGTCGTTCGTTCCCCTTTCTCTGTACCTGTTGAATCTAGTAAAGCATCACTTGTGTTTCTTAGGAGTTGTATTAATTACGATGATAATTCTTAGGCGTTTTTGTTGTCAAAGTCACATTGATGATGCAGTCGGCTGTGTTATGAATCTGTTTTCTGATTCGCTTTTCTAAGAAAAACCAAAGAAAAACTGTACTGTCTTCCATCTCTTGAGAGTGCCTTATAAGTTATAAATTATTAATATTCTTACGGTTATGCCATCCATTGGAAATGATTGTGTCATGGTGAATACTGTGATGATACTGATGGTGAATTTTCGCTTTAGCCTTTAGACTCGACTTATATGTAGTCTTGTTTGGTATATCTGAAGTTGGTGACTTCACCGGCATGATGGGTAACTGCTAAGGTGGCTAGTATGCTGTTGCCTACACTTAGAATAGTCTCTTGATTATACATTTGTGTGGAAGCTAATGTTTTGTTTGTTTAAATTTCAGAAAGATATGCCTAGAACAAGTGAAGCTACTTTATCCAATCCCAGGGCTCCATATGATGAGGATTTGGCTAAGGTTTTACAGGCCATGAAGCAAATGGCTGACCCTGCGCTTGAGGGCACATCCGGAGTAGATCGGAGGCTGAAATTTTTGAAGGTTTTCATTAGTCTGTCGCCCCCGCAGTATGCAGGAAATCCTGATGAACCGTTAGAAGGAGCGGAGTGGCTTGCAAGGATAAAGCAATGTTTTGATGTAAGTGATGTCCCCGATGACCTAAAAGTGGGGTTTGCCACATACTGTCTTACTGGAGCGGCTCACCACTGGTGGGAATTTGTTAAAAGGATACGTGATGTTAAATCCATCACTTGGGGAGAGTTTGAGGAGCTGTTTTTGAATATATATTTTCCTCAAACTATAAGCGCTGCTAAACGCGAAGAATTTCTAGGGTTGAGCCAAGGAAACATGACCGTTGCTCAGTATGCATCTAAGTTCCTTGAGCTAGCATGGTATGCACGAACTAATCTTGTGAGGTCAGATGAACTTGCAGCATTGGAGTTTCTAAGTGGACTGAGGCCTTCCATAAGACCAAGGGTCTCTCTATTCAAAACTTATGATGGCATGGTTGCAGCAGCGTTGAGAGTGGAACAATCTTTGGAGGACAGCGAGGAAGAGTTGTTTGAGGAAGCTTCTGGTGTAGGGGAAAAAAGGCCAAGAAAGCAGTACATTTGCCACCACTGCGGCGAGCCTGGTCATATTCGGCCTAATTGCCCGGAATTAAACTCGCGTGCCTTTTGAAAGGTTTATCAAAATCTCATCCTAGTGATGGAAGGCAAAAATGGTTTCAATTCCAAGTCAATAGTGTGGGGATAATAGTTTGTAAGACTTTCAATATGCCTGGCCTTTGTTTTGGTATGTATCTGTCTGTGTGACTTTTATTCCCTTGGACCTTCGTGAATGGAGAATCTATTTTGTAGCGGGTATAAGTGTCACTTGCTAGGTGCTAATCAATGGAATCCCAATTATATATATAGGGTTTAAGATTCAGGACACACGCTTTTGACATTCGTTTTGTAGGCTGCATTTTGTAATTATTTTATCGATTCAAACCGTTTATATTTTAGTACATCATTCATATATGATCCTTACAAAAAATTAGACCTCCATAACCAGTAAGACATTCATTTATAAGGAAGAAAATGGACAAATACGTTTCTATAAAGAAACACTAAATTTAATCAAACAGTCATATAGTTTTGGATTTAGGTGATTTTTGGAGACAATGATCTTTAAGGTAAGATATAAAAGATATATAATTGGATCGTTGAAATACATTATGGAGTAGGTCATACAAAAACGTGTGTTCCTAAATCTTAACAAATGATGAGAAATTACTAAGGAAAACTAATGAAAAGGACTTGAAAATTTTTAATTTTAACGATAAAGATAAAATAAAGGATAAAGTGAATAGTACCAAAATTGACTTTTTAGTATAAAAATATGATTTTTCGTTAAAATGAACAGTATCGTGAGTTTTTTGTTAAAACTCTCAAATTACTATCTACTAAAACTGAGTTGGTCTCCACTGTTCATCATGTGAGAGGGGCTACTGTTCACCAGCAGTCAACGCCCCAAGCTGCCCTCCCATTCCTTCCTTGCCCGCCCTTTTCTCCCTCTCTGCAGCAGGAAAATGGCCTTCTTGCCCTTATCGACTCCTTCTTCGATTCCAGCGTCTTCTCCTTTCGTCTTTTTCCAGCCGGATGGTCTCCACGTGTCGATCATCGCTTCGGCTTCTCTTTTGGGTAGGTGTTTCTCCTTTTTGTTGCTTTTTCGTTTTTGTCTTTCCCATTTCCCTTTGTGGTCGTTTTCTACCGTTCCTTTCTTTTGTTTTAGACCGTCTTTGCTTTCTACTAGGTTTTCTTTCCGTTTCCTGCCCTTCCGTCTCTCTGCAGTTGGTGATTAAGAGGTTGTTTGTTGCTGGGAAACCATGGTTCGGTCGTGGTAGATCTTTTTTGCTCCCAGGACGCATCGTGTTTGATCGTGGTGGATCTCTTTTGCTGGGGGGACACATCGTTGCCTGCAAACTTTTGGGTTTTTTGCTGGGGGAGAATTTTTGAGACCTTGAAAGTTTCTCTCTTTTTAAGACCACAGTGACCACACCAAACCATGTACTTAAAACTAACATCACAGATACTATTTTAAAAAAAACATTTTTTTAATTCCTTTTTTAGAAGTTATGTTATGGTTTTGAAAAGAAGATGATGAGTGTTTTTAGTTCATGAAAAAAATGGTGGTATAAATTAGCTGGGTAATTTGCCAGTGTTTAAGTTTTGGTTTTGTTTTCTTAATCTTTGGTTGGTTTTTTTTTAGAGATTTTGTTATGTGTTTATGTTGACTCTAAAAATTACAAAACCTACGTGGCGCGCAGGCCGAGTAACTAATAAGCTAACTACGTCCTTCGGTTGAATGCGGGGCGTGCCAACTCGTCGGCCGAGCTCGGCCGAGGAGTAAAATTTGTTGATGTTGCGTTGAGCACGTTGTTGACTTCTTTATCTTGCGACTGCGGCCGAGGAAGGAACAAATCTCGGCCTTTGGATTCTCGAGCCTGAAGACAAGGCTGCTAGTTCTACGAAGTTCAATATCAAATTCGGCTCTCAAGGTGCCGAATGTAGTAACCTGGTAACACCTCACTTCGCCGAGAATGCTAATGAGATGACCTCTGCCAATAAGGATTTGAAAATCCTTCTCGACCGAGAATTGGATAGATAACCAGTCGGCCTCGACGCAGTGCTGTTTATCCAAACTGAAGGTGCTTCGGGAACGGCTGATTCTACGGCAACAGTGCTGTTTATCCAAACTGAAGATGTTCGCCGGTTGCCTTCACAGTGCTGTTTATCCAAACTGAAGATGTGTCGGCGGAAAAAGGAAAATAAAAAAAATCTCAAGATGTTTGAGAGGTTTTGCGCAGGGCAGTTGTGTGTTGAATTGGAGGTCCTTGAATGGTGTTCGCAGCCTTGTATTTATAGAGATCGGCAAGCCAAAGTCGCGAAAATCAATCCTAATTGTACTGTGACTCTAAGTCTTTATTGCTCTCATCTTATCAAAATTTTGTTGTCATCTTGCAACCTGATGCAATCCTGCTTTGACTAATAACCTTTATCCCTCATTATCATAACCTTCTGCCAAAGACCACATGCATGCATGACTCCTTCACCAATTCCTAGATAAGGCCACGTGCACCAATCTCATCCATGAATTCCAAGTCACTTTGTTCCGAAACAACCACCTGGATATATCAAAAATTAGGTTTTAACTATCCTAGTTATTATTAAGATATAATATTACGATAAAAATCAAAATATTACTTCTCAATAATAACTAAAAATTATTTCAACCACTTCATCATCCAACGGTCTAAAATTCGCCTATTCAACGGTCTCGATTGCTCAGGCCGATGGTGTAATTTTGGGTCCAAACAGTTTAAAAAGAAGATGGAAGAGTGTCTTTGATTCCTCAGAAAAGGGGTAATGCAGTGAAGTGAGTCAATTATTTGGATAATTAAACTCCATGCATTACAATTATTTGGATAAATAAACTTCATGCATTACAGTGGGATAATACAATTTTATGTTTATGTGTCTATGTATTTAAACTCAGTGTTTATTACAATTATATTAAAATGGTTCGATGTTCTCAAGTTTTCCTAATATTAAAATGCCCTCCTGTTTTTTGGTGGCAAGTTTTTCTAAATATGAACACATTTCCAACTCCCATTCAAGAACTGCAGCCATATAGAACAAAGTTCGAATTTGTAGAATATGGAAACCAGACATTCCAGGAATGGATGGAGAAAGTATGGGACTACATTGTATATTAGTTAACGAAAGGGTAAGAAATTATTTTGCGATGGTTTTTATTAAAGATGATAAAAGTAATAAGCAATTGAACAAATGATTGTTTTCTTTGGGGTGTTTGTTTGGATATTCAGTGTTAGTTTTTACTGTGTAATGCCGCGCTTAATGTTTGGTATTCACGTGCGCAATCATGTGAGTCAAAATGTAATCTGCATTGTTATTCGTTTGTTGATTATATTTGTGACCCGTCCTTTTCTTTTTCCTTTTTTGTATGATGAATTGCAAAGCAAGATGCAATTGAAGCCTGCTCAACAGAAATGGACCATGAAGTCTTGGCTTCGAAACTCCAGGCTGGGAATTGCTATGAGATTACAAATTTTCGCATCAATAGAAGGAAGGGCGAATACAGAGTGGTGCCAAATGACAGCCAAATTGTGTTCACGGTGAAAACAGTTTTCAAGAAAATTACAAATGAGTTTCCACCCATTCCTCACCACAGATTTTTCTTACAAGACCACAATATGCTTTATCCTCGGTTGGATCGTGTTGATATACTGACAGGTAATGCTATATATTGACACACACACACACACACACATATATATATATATATATATAATTGTAAAATCATTAGTGTTTGTGTCTTTCAACAATTTCTAAAAAAATGAAAGAGTGCAATGCTTAGAACCAAAACAGGTCAATGAAAGAGTTGTGCACAAATGTGACATCGTGGTTGAAAATCAAAGGTAATTTTTTTCATTTATTTTTCATTCTACCCACTTCATAAAAAATTAAAATACCATCCAATAATTGTATGTCGTTTGATAATTATATAATCGTTTAACAATGACTGCATATTTTGTCAGCCAAATTTTAAATTTTTTTAATTGAGTGGTAAAATTCTTTTTCGAATTGCACTTTGATGCAGAAAAGAAGAGGCAAAACTGACTGTGGGGAGATATTGCAAAGAAAATTTCTTCTCTGTTGCTAGAGGCTTTGTCCCCGCCGGTCATTGCTGTTTTTACAAGTTTGAAAGTGAATTGTACCGGGGTATTTAATTTAACAAATTAATAATCAGTTTGTCTTAAATGTTGCCATTTAATCTAATGTGAGTATTGCTATTCTTCCATTACACAGATACACATGCATTGTTAATTACAACATTTGTTTATACCTGCATCTGTTATCATACGAGCTACTAAATTATCATTCCCTTTTGGTGCTACTTTTTTAAAATTTATAAAAACTAACTCAATTTGTAATACATTGAGGTATTTAAATTGTATTGATATTTTTTTTTTTTGTTAACTGTTGGTTTTCACTTTGTTCGTTGTTTTCTTCACATGCAGACAGTGTTATCCTAAACAGCACTGGTTCCTTACTTTTCTTCATTGACCCAGACATTACAGAAATAAACTTATACAAATCAGTGTGAGTATATTTAATGATGTTAAAACATATTGAATCTATGTTTAATATTTTTGGAATGCAAAAATTTTTGTTTCTGCAATATCATCGAGATAAAATTGCATATTAAATGTTGCAGGTTTTCCAGTTCAGCAGATTCTCTCAGAATATTGCCCTCCTCTTCAAACCAAGCAAATGAAGCCGAAATCTTGCAGACCGCGAAAAAAATGACAATCGATCAGTTGGCTTTTTGGATCCAGATTAATGTCTCTGAAGATGTGTCCATGCAACCAGCAACTCCGCTGCCTCTTTTCAGACAAGTGGCAATGTAGCACTACAGTATCATCATCTACCTCAACCCCGAATTGAAGTGCCTAATCATATAAAAGAAAGAGGGAATCAGTCAGTAGACCACTTTTTATCGATGCCAAGAAAAGGTAATACATTCGTGAACAACTATCTTTGCCTTGTTTAAATTATTATTTTTTCTATCATGCATCCTTATTTTTCAATGTTTGCTCTGTTTTTAAAACAACGATATGGAAGAAATTTCAGAAGCAAGTGTCCAAGATTTTGATGAAATTCCTATCAAATTATTGAAAAGGTCTTCTCCAATTGGTTCAGGAAAAACACCTCTCCACCAAAAAAATATTAGGTGACCATCTGTCTTTATTATATTTTCCAGATTTTAATTTTATTCTTGCATGATTCTAAC